AATTGTGACTCACATACTGCCCTTCCCAGACATTGCAGCTCACTGTGGGAGGGTTTCAGAAGCACAGTGAGTTCTACCAATCCAGAAAGCATTTTTATGCCACTGTATTTTGAGCAAGCACAACTTACATGAAAGTGGAAACTCTGCTGTCAATTCAGAAGCAGAGCAGCATTGTTGCCACACCATCACAGGAAGCTGTATTTAGCAGACTTCACTGGCAGCATTCATATGTATTTCTAGGACTTTGCAGGTAGCATAAGACAAATTGTAAGTGCAAATGTACCCATAAGTAGGTCCTACAACACATATTTTGTATTGAGAGGCCATCATTCTACTTTAAGAAAAATCTAATTGGCGTTATCAAAATGTAGGTAGGCCAGTCAGGACCTGTCTATGGGTTTCTTCCTTATCAGAAGTTAAGCAAGAAGGTCTTTAGTGAAACAAATACTTACAATAATTTGTATTACGGCCTGACAATAAAGTAATGATCATTCCCAGGGTGCTAGGTGTAATCATGCCCAGGGATCTAGGCGTAATCCTAGACTCTGATCTCTCCCTTGGGCCCCACATCCACTCACTGGTTAAATCCTGCCACCTCAACTTCCAGAACATTTCCAAAATCCTCCCCTTCTTGACCAATGACACCACAAAACAACTTATCCACGCCTTGGTTATATCCTGCCTCGATTACTGCAACTCCCTCCTCACTGGTCTACCATTACACAGGCTATCCCCCCTTCAGTCTATTATGAATGCTGCTGCTAGACTCATACACCCTACCAACCGATCGACGACTGCTGCCCCTCTCTGCCAATACCTCCACTGGCTTCCACTAACCCAACATATAAAATTCAAAATACTAACCACAGCTTACAAAGCCATCCACAACACTGCCCCTAGCTACATCACCAACCGCATCCACAGATATCGCCCAAATCGCCCACTCCGCTCCTCCCATGATATCCTTCTCTCTAGCTCCCTCATCACCTCCTCCCACGCTCACCTCCAGGACTTCTCCAGAGCCTCTCCCATCCTCTGGAACTCCCTACCACAGCATTTCCGGTCAGCCCCCACCCTGTCTGTCTTTAGGCGATCTTTGAAAACTCACTTGTTCAGGGAAGCCTACCCCACCTCCACCTAAGAACTGTACTTGAATCACCTCTGCCAGATCATCCCCCACAGCTATCACCTTTTGTATCACCTCCCCCTTCCTTTAGATTGTAAGCTCCACAAGCAGGGCTCTCATATTCCTTCTTAATTGAAATGTATTGTAATGGTACTGTCTCCCTTATATTGTAAAGCGCTGTGCAAACTGTTGGCGCTATATAAATCCTGTATAATAATAATAATAATAATGAAAAAGTGTTAAGACTAAAGCTTTGTGTCTTCTATACATTGTATACCATGCTGCTACAGTGTCTGACCAACAAACAGAGGTGCTACTTGTTCTGGTTAAATGCACTTCCCTGATATGTTTCGCTTTTGCAGTCTGATAAAACAGGAGCTTTGCTGTGATGTGCGCCCTGCTAGAAACCAAGTGAACACTGTGCTGTGTGTAGACCACTGGATAATACGTAAAAATATTCTGCTTCACACTGAGCTATTGACCTGCACAGATACCACTTCCCAACCACTGAAATGTTTCTGAACAATTATAAACCTTTTATTCAACAGAATTAGATATCTTCTATAACTGAAGAAATGTCCTTGTTGTTAAAGGAAATCTGTACTAAAGAATTATTGGAGCTGCTGTTGCTTTGTCCTGCTTCTGAAGATGCTAGTTGCCTGGCAATCAAGCAGACAATTTAGCTTGACAACCAGGCTACTAGCATCTTCAGGCATTTAGCATTATCAGAGGAAGGTAATAAATGACAGCCCTTATATTCCACCATGACAAGTTTTCTTTAATAACATTTTTAAAATGTCTGAAATTTAATGAATGAACTGAAATATTGAATGCATATATTTTTTTCTTTTATAAATATATATGTAATATATAGAATTAGTTATTATATTCTCTCTCTCTCTCTCTCTCTCTCTCTATACATATATATATATGATGAGAGAGAGAGAGAGAGAGAGAGAGAGAGAGAGAGAGAGAGAGAGAGAGAGAGAGTATAAATAAAATATAAATTAAACAATTTTATATATATTTATTTAGATAGATAAAATATTAATTATATATATATATATATATATATATATATATATATATATATATATGTGTGTGTGTATGTGTGTGATCCATAGTGTGAGCGCTTTGAATTTCAGTATAAAGCTTTGCCTTTATTTTGTTTTATGATTTAACTTTAAACATGATGGATTAATAAAAGCTTTCCACCCTCTATAATCTGCTTTCAGGTTAGAAGGAATAAAAATATAATAGTAATATAAAAATATTAAATAAAATAGGAAGCAAAAATAAAATGTAATACAAATCTGGAGCCCTGTTGCTTCCGAGTATGAGTTCTAGTTGGTTGGACCAGCACATGTAATGCAGGAATTAAATCCGTATTAATAATGTTATACACGGAATTTTCTACAAAGCATAAATGAGTTGAAAACGTAATAACAGGAGTGTAACGTGGGGACAGTAAGATATAACTGAATGCGGTGACGTCACTACTTCATGTATACATGCTAATACAAGGGGCAGATGTGTACTCTGGATGCAGGTCGCCTTCCTTCTACCAAGTCATCAGGGTCTTGCTGTGTTGCCCCCTTGCAGGGCTTATGTACCTAGTTAAATCACATTACATACTCTTTAAAGAGGGGGTAAAACTAGGCTACTTAACCTCCCCTGATAGGAACTGTAAACAAATACTCAAGATTCAGACCCTTGATCCTCCTTTAAATATAGACTTGTTTATCAGTGTCATCCTAGGAGGATTAATTAGATACATTTATTCACAATTTGGTGTCTGACACCACAGCTTAGGAATGCCTTATAATCACAAGGTGTTAATTGGGGCCAGGCAGGCACTTATGTTTCTATTAAACAGTGTGAGAGCTCCTCCGGAATACATTTCTGCTCCTGTGTCCTGCCTTTTATTGTACACAACTAGATACTATTCACAGAAAGACCGAATTATCAACTTGCTTAGATAAGGACTTTTAATAACGAATTTTTTTAGATTATTTTAGATAAATAGAATATTTACTAATATAAAAACAAGAAAATAAAAGTGAAAAAGAAAAATAACTAATTGCATTTTTTTTTAAACTAAATCTCCTTTCAACTCCCTATTTTGCATCACTCACAGTTTAATCTTATTAACTTCTTAATTTCCTACAAAGGAAACGATTTGTACCCTTCTATGTATGCAAAGACCTTTTAATTTAATTCCACCCTACACAAAATTAGACAGGGGCTCTTTTATCTCTAATCCAGGTGTGTGTAGCTGCAGCAACATGAATTAATGTGTGTGTGTATATATATATATATATATATAAGTGACAGTGAGCATTGAAATCATTTACAATTTTAAATGAGTATTTAGGTGAACACAGCTGTATGAGAAAAACAAATATTGACTTTGCAAATATGGTCTAAGTACCTGTACTAAATGGATCAGGATGTCACGCTGACCTTTATTAACATTCCTGCATAAATTGCTGAAAGTATTTCTCAAGCAGTTGCCATTATTAATAAATTTCGAATTATTATTATATTATCTTCATCATTACTATATAATTTTATTATGTACCGTATGTATTATTATGTTATCATTGTATTATGTATTTATTAATTATTATTGTGATTATTTTTTTGTACATGATAACAAACGTAAAACACTAGTGTAATAGAAGGGGTTAGAGACGATCGTTTATATAATCAGCCCTAAAAAAATCTTTAGTGGCTAACTAACTAACTATATATATATATATATATATATATATATTTATATATATATACCTGCAATGTTTTAACGAACAAACGCTATTCTATTACAGAGGAGGCTTAAACTACTACACTGGAAATGTTGAATCGATTAGTTGGTGCTTTATTCATTGATGACACATGTTGAAATTTTTTAGATTATTGGATTACAAAATTGTAACATTTGTTACACTATAAAGTGATAAACAACATATCTGTTTGACCGATGTTACAAACATTTTTTCTTTTCTTTTTTAACATTTTTTTTCTTGCTGCTTATGAATTATGTTTGTATATTTTTTTCTGCCTTGTCATTAATTATTACCGGTATTTCCAGTCCCATAGTAATGAAATTATTTTACTTTTCCCAAACATACAAATGAAAAGACACATGCTTCAAAATTACATGAAACAAACGCTTTTTCCAACCGATCTGCTTCAGATCTGAAACTTCCTGAAGGCAACACATTTATTAAAAAGGACCAAGCATTATATACATAAAAAGGTTGAGACTCACAATTTCTTTCAGATCAATAACGAATTCTACATTTTTACAAATGTCTTGTGTAAGTGGTATTTTTTCTTATGCTCGTTGTTTTTGATGTTTTTTTCCCCAAACACAACAGAAAAGTACATTCTGACATGGCAGTCTAAAGTCTCTAGATAGAATTTTTTGTGTACTAGCCATTACACAGTTGTACAACAAACCAGTTTAGGAATTGTCTTGTAGAACAAGAGAAACACACATATAATTCATACAATATATTAAACTCCACAATAGGCATCAGAATATCTACACAATATTTACAATAATCTTGGTTCATAAATAAATCACATAAAAAATGAAGCAACCAAAACAAAGCAGATATTATCAACTTGAAATACTAATTACTGTCACATTTAAGACAGATTGTGACAAGTTAGAACTTGCAGCACTCAGAGCTCCATTTTTTCTTTCTAGAGAGCTACAAATCAGTTTTTCTATATTCCCTTTTGCTCTCCATTTGAAAGGCAACACCCACACTTTTTTGGCATTTAATGCTAAGATCCACCCTGTGCTCAAAGTGTTAAGGTAATATCTATACATATATAAATACATATATAAATATATTATAATTCTTTAAGAACTAGAGTAGAAGGAATAATAGCCTAGGCCTTTGGAGGCATCTTTAAAGTCTTCATTCGCAATGTCCTCACATTTAATGGGAGGGGAGTTTTCATTGCTTGAAGTGCTAGGTGAAAGCCGTCTTCGCTTGCAGGCTCCTGTGTAGACACCAGAGTCGTTTGAGTCTAAAGATTTAATGGAAGGAGGTGTCTCCACCCATGATGAGTTCAACTCTTCTTTGACCTTGTCTTTAGGTAGAAGGTCTTCAGAGAAACCTGAGGGGCTTGACCTGGAAGACCAAGGTAAACCAGTTGCCATTTTCCTTTGATATGGAGAACTTCTGCTGCTCCATCCTGTCATGGAAGCAAAGGCCGCATCCGGATAGTATGCCATGGGATGAGAGGTCTGGATGGCAAAAACCCACAAAAAAAAAAAACACAAACCAAAATCAATAACAAAAAAAAAACTACCAAACCAAAAAAACAAAAACAAATACCTAAAATAAAAAAAAACAAACCAACAACAACTGCAGAGACTTAATGCCATAGGTGAGAAGAGAACTAGAAGAATAGTCTGTATCATAAGGGCCCATGTCCAGTTTGTTGGCTGCAGCTTGTTGGACAGGGGTCACAAACCACCTCTGGGGGGGAGCGTTGGCCACTTCTTCATTAGCCTGGGGTGAAAGAAGACCATTGGTCTGGGGTACAGTCCTCTCTCCACTGTAGTACCTTGCAGGGGGCAGGTTGTTGACAAATTGCTCCTGGAAGAAGGGCTGGACACTGTAGCGGGCACCGGGCACTATCTGGTGGGATCTAGGAGAATCCGCAGGAGATGGAGTTAATCGGTCATTTTCTGATGCCGTGTACATGCTATAAAAAAATAAAAAGTTGCTGTGACTATAGTGAGCATGATCACACATGGGTAAGCTATGGGTAAAACAAGTTAAAGAAGTTGATTCCCTAAAAGAGAATCTTCACAAAGTGAAAAACTCAAATCATGGGGGGGAGTTAGAAAAGCAGAATTGTGTCCTGTGCTTGACTAGATAGTTGAGATCAACACAAATGTACTTTATTCACTAAGCTAAGTGTTCTTTCACTATCCCTTTATTATATTAAATACATAGTTTTGCAGAATAATACAGTAAAAGCCAGTGTATCTAATTTTTCTATAGCTACTGTAATTTGGTGTTATTTCTATCAATATTGAATCTACTGTCAATGTCAATGAAACTGAAAATATAAAGCAATCCTTCCCATACCAAACACAATACACCATCTTAAAGAAGATATACTTACGAGTCATAGTTGTCTCTGAAGCCTTTTGCAAATGGGTTGTGGTCAATTTTCAGTTGAGTGATCTAAAATAAAACAAAAACATCTAATAGTGATCTACAGCCTTCTCAGTACTGATATTTCATCCCCTTTACATACAGCCCCCACTCCCCCTCCTCCTCCTCCTATGGAAGACAATGGTGTGGCCCTTACATCTGTATTCTGGTATGCTGTGACAGCAATGAACTGAGTCTCTGGGAAGGTGAAGGTCTGAGTCTTGGCAGAGTCATTGAGGTCCTCCACTCCATCTTCACTGACTTCCACAATGTGCAGACGTGGCTGGTACTTATGCAGAGACTGGAGGACAATCATCTAAGGAGAGACAGATAACTTTTAGTAAATCAGACTTAGAATAAAGAATTTTCTAAGTTCTAGCTAGACTTTTTCAAGTAAGTAAAGAAATGAAAGCTGTTTGTGGGGAGAGGAGGAGGCATTGAGTAGGTGATTGAGGTGAGCTGATTGTATGCTATGTGGGTAAGTGAGAAGAAGGTTTCTGGGGTGTAGGCGGGTGGGAGGAAGAATTTGTAAGTGGGGGGGTGGGGGGGGGAGGGGGGGGGGGGAGAAGGTAACCTGAGAGGACAGATATGATCTGGGGGGGAAGGGTGACTGGCTGTAACAAGACTGTGTTTGAGCTTGGGCACAAAGCCCATTAAATATGTGTGCGGTAAGGGCTGACTCACAGGTAAGCAGGAGTGTGGGGAAGGTGTTGAATGTAAAGTAGTAGATGTGAGAACAGAGTGAGAAAAGCCAACATCTCTTAGTACTAATCATCTGAGAAAAGAAAAAAACAATGAAAATAAGTTGACCTCCCAGCTATTCTGACAGAAGCTTTCGTTTTCTATAGCATTAGAAGAAGGCGATGCATTATTATGGCTCTACTAGGAGTCATCGGTGCCGCGTTATTCACTAATGTACGACACTTTCATAACTTCCCCGTGCACGCGGCTTCTAGTCCATGCGCCCCGCGTACAGTCAGTGCCATAGACGGGAGCACGATCGCTGTCCATGGTAGCGCCGTCTTACCTGAGTGTTGTTATTATTGGCTCCCTTGTTATTTGTCAGCTTCAGCTTCCCGAAGGAGATCTCCTGCCTCATCCAGTGTGCTCCAGTGTTGGGGGACTCGGGGTGCACATACACCTTATTACCTGGACAGAGGTAGAGGAAGAGACATGTACTAAAAGGAGTCCTACAATTCTCTCTACATACCGTGTCATCATATATAACTACCTCTGTGATCACTTACCTGTCCATTCAGATGTCATTTCATATCATAGTCTTGATCGTCTTTCTTCATTTCATGTATCACCTATCCTTATATATAATATATGTCCATCGACCTGATACTTGTCTTATTACATATTGTTTATCTGGTAAATTGTCTGTCATCTGTCTGTCCGTCTATTAATATATGTATCATCCGTTTGCCTATATATTGCCTATCAATGTATATATCATCCAGTTACCTATATGTTTGCCTATCAATGTATATATCATCCAGTTACCTATATGTTGCCTATCAATGTATATATCATCCAGTTACCTATATGTTGCCTATCAATGTATTTATCATCCAGTTACCTATTTATTGCCTATCAATGTATATATCATCCAGTTACCTACATATTGCCTATCAATGTATATATCATCCAGTTACCTATATGTTGCCTATCAATGTATGTATCATCCAGTTACCTATATGTTGCCTATCAATGTATGTATCATCATCCAGTTACCTATATGTTGCCTATCAATGTATGTATCATCCAGTTACCTATATGTTGCCTATCAATGTATGTATCATCCAGTTACCTATATGTTGCCTATCAATGTATGTATCATCCAGTTACCTATATGTTGCCTATCAATGTATTTATCATCCAGTTACCTATTTATTGTCTATCAATGTATGTATCATCCAGTTACCTACATATTTCCTATCAATGTATATATCATCCAGTTACCTATATGTTGCCTATCAATGTATGTATTATCCAGTTACCTATATGTTGCCTATCAATGTATTTATCATCCAGTTACCTATTTATTGCATATCAATGTATGTATCATCCAGTTACCTATATTGCCTATCAATGTATATATCATCCAGTTACCTATATGTTGCCTATCAATGTATATATCATCCAGTTACCTATATATTACCTATCAATGTATGTATCATTCAGTTACCTATATATTGCCTATCAATGTATGTATCATCCGTTTACCTATATATTGCCTATCGTTGTATGCATTATATGCCTATATACCTAACACTGGTCTTATGTATTGTCTGTTCATCTATTAACAGATCTATAATCTGTCTGCCTATCAATGCATTTATCTAACAGTCTTCTAATTGCTATGTATTGTCTGTTCATCTATTAATGTATTCTGATAGTAATATACTTCACAAGAGACTTATGAAGTTAATTCATCCCCCTTTAATCTAAATCTTTCCTTTAATTAACACATGTCTGCCTATAATATACTTCTTAATTTAAATATTACCTATCTATAATACAATTACTTATCTATAATATAATTACCAAATATATCTATAATACAATTACCAAATATATATAATATTTCTACCAAATATATATATATATATATATATATGTGTGTACTCCTTATACCAATATATATATATATATATATATATATATATATATATATATATATATATATGTGTGTGTGTACTCCTTATAATCATATTTATAATCAACGTATCAATGCATATATCAATTACCTATTTATCAATTAATCTCCCTGATTACCGATCTATCAAATTACGTATTATCAATCAATCTACCAATCAAATCTTTCTACAAATCTAAATATGTATCTAAGAATTTAGTTTCCATTGTCTGCCTGTCTATCAATCGAACTATCTCTCTCTCTTTCTTTCTTTCTTTCTATCTATCTATCTCTTTATATCGAACTATCTATCTATATATTTATTTATATCGAACTATCTTTCTTTATATCGAACTATCTTTAATGTATCAACACATGCCCAGTAATAAAAGCATTGTTGTACTTTAGTTTCTCGTCACACAGGTAAAAGCAGCACCCATTGTGAACCTACAAGTCTCTTTTACTGTGTACAAGCTGCCCATGCTGAGACTTGTAGTCCCACAGCCCCCCATTGCCCTGTAGGCACCCACCTTGCATATTATTGTCCGCCTTGCCGCAGGTCACCCATTTGCCGCCTTGGAATCGCCAATGGTTAGGATCGGCCAGAACCACCTCCACAAACACGTTATAATGAGCTGTCGGATTTAAGCCGGTGATGTTGAAGCTGAGGAAGGGGAACATCCTCCTGGAGAAGGGTACAAAAAAGCCATCATACACTTGTCCCCATGTCTGGACTGTACACAGGTTCTGTCTATTTAAATCACACTCACTCTATATGCTGGAATAGAGCTAAAGATCTCACTAAAAGATTTCAACTAAAACCTATAGACAATCAATTCCTGGGATGAATACTAGTACACGACGAATGTATAGCAATGTAACAAATCAGATAGGAAAACAAGGCAAAACTGTGATTTCTAATGGAACCTGGGTGACCTCTATAGGAAAATATTAATGACATTGTAGCCGTGTTTGTATATGACCTCAAGAAGATCAGGGATAAGGATCGTTATTTCAGGGTGAATATTTGTAGCAATTTTTAAATCTATTAACCTAAAATAACTGCCACATTTTTTAAATAAAGGATCCTTAGCCACGGGTTTTTTTTAAATCTATCTATCTATCTATCTATCTATCTATCTATCTATCATCTTTAATGTATTAGCACTACCCCATAGTTACAATCATTGTTACCTTGTACTGGAAAAAAAGCAATATTCACATGACATATTACAATTTAGTTTTTAATCACACAGGTAAAGGCAGCACCCATTCTGAACCTACAAGCCCCTTTTCTGTGTGCAAGCCGCCCATGCTGAGACTTATAGTCCTACAGCCCCCATTGCATTGTAGGCACCCACCCACCTCGATAGATAGATAGATCGATCGATAGTTAGATAGACAGATAGATAGATAGATAAAAAAAACTTTCTGCATGCTCCAAAAACTTTTTATAGTCTAAAAAAATAAAATACAAAAAATATATACATATACACGCACTCACAAACAGTTTTTTTTTTACTTTAATCTATCTATCTATCTATCTATCTATCTATCTACTTTCATGCAATAAATCCCTCTTCTGTGAATGGCAGTTGCACATGCCGCCCTATGGCTCCGGACTCACCTGCCCTGTTTGGTGATGATCATCTCGGTCTGGTGTCGGTGAAATTTGAGCCATAGAGGGCGGTTGCAGAGGTAGACCTGTGCCCGGACTCCAGTCCCGCTACCAGGCAGCCCCAGGGCACTGAGCCCACTACCAGAGCCGGCCGTTGGGTAGGGGCTGTACATGGTGCCCGGTGCCTGGCTGTACTGATAGCCGGTGGAGTATTGTGGGCGGGAGGGGCACACCGGAGGGGAGAAGCCGGCCGGAGGTAGCATGCTGCTGTAAGGAGGGTACCTGGCCGCTCCACCCGGTGGGTACACGGCGCTGTGCTGCGGTGGGGCATAGGGGAAGATGGAGCAGGGGGAGCCCAGCTCTGCCCCAGTCTGTTGGTGCTGCTGCCCCTATGGGGGCTGGCAGGTAGTAGCGCTCAGAAGCCGCCTGCATAGTGTTGTCCAGGTACCGAGGTGCTGAAGTTGGGGGGACAGAAGTCAAATCCTCTTCCACCACTGGAGAGCCTTTCCTGCTGCTGTCCTGGAGGTTCTTGGTGGCTTGGAAGCTCTCAGTGGCCTCACTGAGCATAGTGCTGGCGGCAGTGTTAGTGGAAGCTGCTTCTCTTGGGCTGTCCAAGTGGGGACCCCTGGGGTACTTCTTGTGCTGCTGCTGGTTCTTGTGCTGTCCCACGCTGAATTCCAAGCCTGGGCTCTGGGCGGCGCTGTTGGGGTCTCCAGGTAAAGGGTAGAAGGTGTGGGGCAGGTTAGGAGCAGAACTGGTCAGGATCTGCTCTCCTAGCTGCATCCTCTGTCTGGCTGAAGGTTAAGCCTGCCTCAAAATCTGTACCGGCTGGGCTGATGCAGACACCATGTACAGCCAGACCCTCACTGGAGAAAAAAAGGGGGGTCAGGGGGATGATGAGTGCTGAGAGATGAAATGTCCTTTCAGTCTACAATCTGATCCATAGGTGTTTCCAGGGAGTGGGTGAAGCTGAAGAGGAGGGGGAAGCAGACCACCACTCACAGCACACTCACAGTCACAGGACTCCTCTCTGAAAGGGAAAATCAAATGTGTCAAAAACGCTGCCTGTGCCACTTTATATACGGTCGCCTCCTTCACACCTCTATTAAGGCTAATGATTCCAGGGAGGGGCTTGCTGCCTCTTTCATGGCAAGAGGAGAGGAGGACAAGTACAGAAAAGTCTCCTCTGACCATTGGTTGACATTAATTTAATTAGACAATTCCTAATTGGAACAAGTCACCTGTGCCCCACTCACTGGCTGCTCAGCATTGCACATCAAATGCATCGCTTGCAATTATTGTTAACCAAATTCCCTGAAAGGGAGAGGAAGGGGAATTTCTACTTTCTTCCCAAACCATTCCTCTCTCCTTGTTTAAAGGAAATCTTTTTTTTTGTTAAGATCAGACAGGCCTTTCTTACTGGGCGCTGGTGGAGGGCAGCGAAATAAAAAGGGGGCTTTGATTGAGCAGGAAAACAGAGAGCTCATATTACTCTATTTACCGAGGAGACTGCAGGAGACATCCAATACACAAATGCAGGAACCCAGCCTCCAATTCATAGGGCCTGGGAGGAAGAGTCGATTGTACACAGCTATACTCTCCAGAACCTGTCTGGCCTTCACACATCCATGGCATTCACTGGAGACCTTAGATCATTCGGATTTCCTGCAAAAGTTACATTTCACAAGTGATCTATTCTAACTCAAGGAACCAATAGTTTGAAAGGGGCAGCGCAGACTACACATCACTTGTTCTGGTTTATTCAGTCTATTTAAAAATACACGAATCAACGAAGGATCTGATTTTGTGCAGTAAAAAGCTGAATAAATGTATCTATTGTAAAAGAAAGTGAAAGATTGCAACACTGTAAAGACACCTCTAACCATAGTGTGTGCAGGAGGAAAGTTCAATGCTGAATTATTTACATAAGTGATATATATATAGAGAGAAAGAGAGAGGGACGAAAAGGGGAGAGAGAGGGGGAGGAAGAGGGGGGAAAAGGGGGAGGGGGGAAAGAGAGATGGGGGAGAGAGAGAGAGGGAGGAAGAGGGGGAGAGGAAGGGGAGAGAGAGAGAAACCTGTGCAATCCCGAAGTATATTATAAATGTTATAGCGAGAGAAAGAAAAGAAAGAAAGAAAGAAAGAAAGAAAGAAAGAAAAAAAGATAGAAAGAAAGAGAGAGAGAGAAAGAAAAGGAAAGAAAAAGAGAGGGATAGAGAAATATGTATATATTAACCAGTGCAAATCCCGAAATACATGAATATACATGATATATATATATATATATTATATATATATATATATATATATATATATACAGAGAGAGAGAGAGAGATCAAAAACCAGAAAACTAAAATCCTATGTAATTATATACATACGTAGTACTAAATACATATGTACTATGTCTATATATATATTTATATCTATATGTGTACATAATACATATGTATGACACAAGATTCCTTTGCCTAATATATATATATATATATATATATATATATATATATATATACTGTGTTATACATATGTAATATAATAAGTTAGAGAGGGAGAGAGAAATTACAAACCAGTTAAACACTAAAATTCTTATATACTTATTCTTTAAGAACTATATACATATATATCATATATACTGTATGTAATTAAGCAAGGGAATCCCGTATTTTACATATGTAAAATATACATTTAAAGGGGGGGAGGAGAGGTCACCAACCAGTGATTGCATATATATATATATATATATATATATATATATATATATATATATATATATATATATATATATAAATAAAACTTGTCCTGCTTGTTTATGTGTTGAGGTTTTCTGCCTTCTTCCAAGCTGTCTATAATGAAGATATATTGGTGTCAGTCACCAAAGTGAATTGAGGACTACCAGTCCCTGACCTGTTTGCTATCCCTCCTGAAATCCTGAGCTCTACTGCCTCCCCAGGAAATCTTCCCATTTTCACTTTGCTAAACTCACTTTTCTATAGCTGCTAAGATTGCAGACAAGAGGGAATAGCAGCAGTCTCGATGTGCGGCATACGGCGTGTACAGAGTCTGTGCCAAAGAGCTCGGAGACAGCAGTGGGGCTTATCAGGGTTTTTATTGTTTGGGGACCACAAGGAAAAGGTTTTGATAAATTATTTTCACAGACTTGCAGGTGAAAGTGGCTATCAGATATAAACCATCTGGCATCCTTCAGTACATTTCATGCCTTTTGTTAGCAGAAGAGAGATATTGCAGGCAGGCAGGCAGGCTGGCAGTCAGGATTCCCTGCTAGATGAAATGAAGGCATCCAATTCTCAGCTCCTGATCTGCTGCAGAGTCCTGTTCATGTCACTCCGGGGCATCCCATGTATGTGGCACTTCCTAGGAAGGTGAGATGGATTAGAGGCTGTGACATTACAGACCAGGGCTATCCCTCATCTCCAGCACATCGAGGTCTTCCCAAATATCAGAGTTCTATTATAAACTGACATCCCAGACATAAAATGACAAAGCCCTTTTTTTGTCAGCTAAGGATGCAATTATTTGGTAAACCACAGGATCATTTTCTATTGGCCACTTCTAAATACTTGCTACTATGTGATAATGACATTATATAAAACGAAATCTAACATAAAGTCGGCTTTCTGTACAAGAGCTGCTAAGAACTTAAAATAAAAAAAAAACTGTGAGATGACTTTACTAAAAGAGTCATTGTCAGGATGACATGTGTCATTTCAAAGAGCCAGTCAGCTTTAGGGATACATTTCTGTTGTTTTTTCATTTTCAAGAACCAAATTGGTTCATTGAAGTGACAAAAGATAAAAGATAATTACTAATTTTATTCACATCCTATGATTTTAATTACATCCATACATTCACAGCAATTCCTAGAAAATATCCTCATCCTCCCAACATCAGTGTAAAAAAATCCTGTGATTTTTATACATCGAGAATGGTAATAAAATATCTTTCATATCATATCATTTGTAATTGTATTTGCAGATCCTTTTAGTGCTGATTGCTATATTTCCTATTGATCTGTATTTAATTGTCAGTTTATGAAAGCCACGAAGCCTCATATGATGAGTTGTATACTGCTCTGTTATATGTGTATTCGCCCTCATTGTATATGAGATCACAATACTGGGGAATACATTCCTAACAGATGATATTTTATTATAGCACACGAAGTCACCTGGCTGTGCCCCTTATTATCCCACTCTAGGATGTTCTTAGGGTCTTCCAGCCATAAGGGGAGAATACTGGGCTATTGACCCAGACACTAGGAAGTTCCATTGTAACCCAGATGTAAAGTAGACTAACAGTGGGGTGCACAGGAGAGGGCGGACAAAGCAGCTTCCCCATATTATCTTTTCATGACCTTTGCTTGTACAAGATCCAGCTTCCCCTCTGCAAACCATCGGGGGTCGGAGGGACACATAGCTAGATCGATTAGAATGCAAACGGAGTCCTAATTATGTCCTGGGTTTGTTTTATTTATTTATTTGTTTTGCTTTTATTAAGTTGTTTATAGTGTGTGTGTGATCACAAGAGGGGCGATCCCCATAGTAACCATTGTGTGCCCGGAAATGAACATGTAAAGACAAGTGACTGCCAACTACAGACAGTGCTGATCATCTGTACCGTGGTCACAAATGTACATAGAGAGTGGGATATATGTCACAAAGTAAGCCCACTCCTGGGGAAGTGACACCATATATCTATTATCTGTTCAAACAGCACTGTATAATAATATAAATACAGAACTTAATATACCTGTATTAATATTTTACAGATATACATCTCGTTCGTGTAAACATCGCATTTATCATTGCATCCCGCCAGTCTGTCCGTTTGATAGGCTTCATACAGGTTATATAGGTGACGTCCTGTTCTATTACAGTATTTATCCAGTCAGTGTTCACCTATTGGTCTTGTGTTCTTTTTATGGTTTCTATACATATTTTAGTGATATATATTTTTCTGTCGTAAATCTATACAAAATATACAATGTGTATATAAAGTACAATCTTTCTTTTGTCTATCTATCTAGATATCTTTATCTATCTATCTATCTATCTATCTATCTATCTATCTATCTATCTATCCATTTATTCATATATCTATCTATCTATCTATCTATCTATCTATCTATCTATCTATCTCTATCTATCTACTAATC